ACTCTGATGGCGTCCAGGGGGAGGTCTAGTGGGAGGGGCGGGCGCCCTCCGGGAGGAGCAGGACCACGAGAGTGATGTTTGTTCGGGAAGCCGGGCCAGCACTCCGCGACGCGCTTGCCGGGAAGTCGAGGCTGGATCACCGTGTACCTGCCTTGAATCCCGAGTCACACAGTGCATGGAGGTGAGCAGGGCGTTGCACTGGCAGCGTAGGGAAGCTTAAAAAAGTCAGTAAACAAATAGTATTTTTCTTCTGATCGAGAGCGTCCTCCCACCCACGCACCATCGAGCCTAGGCGCCTTGCGCCAGCCTTGCTGCAGCTTGCCGCCGACGTGATTACATTTGGGTTGTCGGTCCGTTCGACAGCCGGCGGCTCGTTCGTCCTCATTAGCTCTCTTGCTCCCAGCGGCCCCACCGTCCCCTCTCCCTTGCACACTCTCACCGAAAAAGGGGGCTGTTTCTCTCTGTCTCTCTTTGTCTTTGTCTTGCCGGGCCAAAAGACGCGATCCGCGTTCTAAACAGGCGCACACACATGGTGCACCGTGTACGCCGCGTGCTCCAACCCTCCGGGCCGCGCGGCGAGTGAGTTCCCTTTTCCATTAGTTTACCTCGTCGTGCCCGCGGGCCGCGTGTTGCCATCCCCTCCCTCCTCTTTCGCCGATGTTCACCACCTGGCAGCCCCCGGAGCGCAGCGTTGAGCTTCCCCGGCAAACGGGCGGGCCGTGTTTTGTAATCCGTACTGGGAACGCTCAGTACAGCGTGGCGAGCAGCGAGACAAAAGCAAACCGCGGAAACAACACGAAGAACGTCGTCGTCGTCCTCAGCCAGGCGTCTTTCTCTTCCTGACGCGCACCTGAGCGCTGCGCCCGGCTGCGCCCCGCGGGGAGGACGTGGACGTGCTCCTGCCCTGACGACGAGCTTCCGCCAGCTTCTGCGCGTCGCCTGGAGCGAGAACGGTGGCAAGGGCGAACCGGGCGTGGCAAGCAACGAGTAGAAAGAGTATTCTAGTATCACAGCCCGCCGTGGCCTTCAGCATTGCGGATCCAGACAGTGCTCGTCTCCCTCGCAACCCTCAAGGCGGTGGTAAGCGCGCCTCGCGTGAGCCGGAGGGAAAGGCACAGCGAGTTTGGCCTGATGCAGCTGCGGCGGCACCGGGCGGCACACGCTCCACGTGGCAGGAAATGCCGCGCACAGCGTACTCGTCGCTTCAAAGGGGCCCCGCGCCACTGCGCCGCCGCCGCGTGCTCCTGTGCAGCAGGGCTTCGCAGCCCCGCCACTTGGAACCTTAATCTCGTGAGAGGCGGTTGCCTGGAGCAGGGCCACGATAGAGGCGCCGCCGACACAGTGCGCCCTCATGTCGTTGCGGTGCGATGGAGGCCCCGGCGGCCCTGGCGGTTCTGGCGCCACTTGGTGGAGCTCGCATGAGGGCGAGGCGGCCGTTAGCGCGACGTGAGGTGGCCGTCAGCGCCGCTCTTAAAGACGGCCATCACGGCCTCGAGGTGGGTCATTAGGGGCGGCGTGCTCGCGGGCAGCGCGGAGCGACAGGCGTTACTGCGGCGCGGGGGCGGCGGACGAGGACGCCGTCGACGGCCTGTTTCAGCGCCAAACGGCCCGAACGGCCAGCCACTTGGCGGCCACTGAGCACCGCCACTAACGCCTGCATTGTGTTGGGCAGCCCGTGCCAAGACCGTCCGTACAGCCCTGTCCTTGTCGCTACTCCGAGGCTGTCAATGAGTGCGAGAGGGACCGAGGACGTTTCCTAACGTGTGGACATCTCCACTCCGCGACCCCTCAAGCAGGCCGCTGTAAAAAAACAAGGTTGCAGCAGCGCCCCGCGGTGGGCGCGGCAGTGCCGCCGAAGCACGTAGTTTGCGGGCGTGCGAGTGAGCAGGGAGAGGGTTGCCTGCAGCCTGCAGGCGGCGGTGGGGGTGGGCATCAGGCAAAGGCAAGCCATCTGGAGGCCTGGAGTGGAGAGGCGATTGTGGGTTTACGGCTTCGGCAGACCAGCCAGCAGCAACAAGCACCACACTGCCACACAGAGCCAGCGCTAATCGGCAACGCCGACACATCTCGCCGCCAGCAGACAAAGCAAGGTTACGCCGTGCGCTCAGGGATACTGAGCAGCGGCCCCAGAGAAGATCAGAAATCAAAAGCAATAAGGAAAGTATGTGAAGATTCCATCATGGGCACTGATTGCTCTCGCCGCCCGATTTTATGACCTCGGCCCGCCTCGGCCGCGCCATTCCGATGCGGCATTGCGGCATCGCGATGGCGGTCCCCTCGGGCCCCCTCCCCCTCCCACCACTCCGTCACCATTATTATTGGCAAACAATGGCACCGAGCATTTGCATGGCCGGCCCGCGGCCCAGCAGCATAGCCCAGCAGCCGAGACCGCTCGACTCTAATTTCAATACGAAATGTCAGATTGGCCGTATTAGAGAGCGACGAGGCTGGGGCGGCCTCGGCCTGGCCGGCGCTCCACCTCGGCCTCTCCGCCTTACACCCCGGCCGAAAGGCCCCAAAGGGCAAGGCCCTCGAAGGCCGGCTAGCCTGGGCTAGCCGCCACCGGCGTCACAAAGACGCTTTTAATTTTCCGTCTTTGCGCTGCGTGAGCCTCACAACAACTCGCGACAGCAGCAGGCTCTTTCCGAAGGGGTCGCTTCGTCGCTTCGACTCTGTCGCACTCACGAGGCGTTCCATGGGGGCGCGAGAGAGACAGAGCGACGAAAACGACTCTTGGGAATCGGCTCTCGGCGCCTTGGGGCCGTCCATGTAATCAAATTACAAAATGAAACAAACAAAGAAAACGGCCAAGTTTGTTTCAGTTGTTTTCTTTTGTTTCGGCCGCGGGGCGCGCTGCGACAGCGAGCGCACTGTTGGCCAATTTTGCCCCCGCCTGCCCCCGGCCCCCACCGCGCGGTTCGGCTGGTTCAGCGCTGCGTGGCGGGCGGCGCGCGCAGCGGGTTGGCGTCGGCGGGTTGCACTAGCGTTTCCATCTTCGTCTCCACGGCCCGTCCGACAGCCCGCACGCCGCACTGCCTCCCCAATGCACCGTTTCGGCCCATATTCTTGTTTTACTTCGCTTGCTGCGTGTGCACGCAAACGCGTTGCGGGGAGTGCCCCTGGACGGGAGTGCCCCGCGGCGATTGCCCTGTTCGCGAGTCCGTCGTTTCCTCTCTCAGCCTGCGCGTCCTTCACTTCCCTCCTTCCCCCTCCTCTTCCCAGAGTCCATAAAACGCGGCGCCCATCGAAGGGAGCCCCACCACCTTAGTCAATCAGTGGCGCCCCGGAAGGAGGCGGCCTGCTTGTTGTTGCTGCTCTTGTTGGTGCTCCGATTGAATAATTTGGCAGCTAATCGACGAGGGCGGCGTGACGCAATGCAAATGGCAGGGTCGCCCGGTCCGGTAGCACCCCGAGCACACCGTCACCGTCCTCAGCGCCCCATCACCTCGTCGTCGTGTGGGAGCCGAGCGGGAAACGCGCGGCGATGGAGATGAAGTGGCTGCTGCAGGCAGTGGCCCTCGTCGGGGAAGGAGGGGAGGCAGAGGCAACCCCCGCCGCGCACACACCGCCCGCATACTCAACAAGGCCACCGCCGTGCTGCTGCTTTCGGGCACCCCCACGCCCCGCCGATCTCACGATCAAAAATAACGAATTAATGCGGGGATGCGAGCGGCTCCTTAGATTCCTCCTCCCACCCCACCGAGCTCATTGCGTTGGCCGTGCTGCGATATTCATGACCGGCCCTCTGCTATCTACAAAAAAGTTTTTCCTTTTTTGGAGAAAGGGTGGGGGTGCACCTCAGATCACCAAATGCGGCAGTGCAGCTGGTTACTCGAAGCAACCACTGAAAGCAACTCAAAGCAGCTGCAAGCCAGGTATGAAGGCGAAGGTCACCGAGCTCCGACGGGTGAAAACGCGTGGAAATGCCACTGCAGGGGTTGGGCACACAGACGGGCGGGGAAGGGGAGGGGGATGCCCAGGTGCGGCTCGGGGCAGTGCAGGGGTGGTGGAAATAGGCAGAACGCAGGCAGACCATCAGCGCAGCCAAACGGAACGCTTCCGTGCCGTTGCGCCAATAAGCCTGGCAGCCCGGCAGGGGTAGGGCCTCTCTCTCTCATTCTCTTTCTATCCGGTGCGCCGCTCCCGGCCAGAGAGCAGAAGCCATCGGCAAGTCGGGGGAGGGGGACAGGGGAACTGCACCGCGCGCTGGCACGCGTCCCAGCTTCAAACCCCAAACCCTCCCCGCCAACGAGGGGACGGCCGAACGACCTCAAGGCAAGAAAGCGGCTGGAGTTTATTGAAAATTGACCGCGGTCTCGGTCCCTGCGAGCTTTCACGTGCAGCCCGCGGTGCCTGCAACGGACAGCGTACAGTCCCGCAAAAGACCTCCTCGTGTATCGGATTCGGAGCGCAGGCAGGCCGTCGTGCAGGGGCGCAGCTAGGGAGACTCCCCCCCCCCCAAACTTCCCCGTTCGTGGCAAAATCGGCGGCACTATCTCGCGGCCCATCGGGATGGACTACAAGAAAGCCTACGGAGGGCCGCGGCGCAGTGCTGCGCAGTGCTGCGGCCACAAAGGCACCTCCGGGACGAACGCCGGGGGGACGGCAAGGGCCGGGACGGGCTGAGGCGGAACCGGATATCGCACCAAGCGCGCGCACACACAATCCCCGTCGTCGCTCTCTCTCTCTCTCTCTCTCTCTCTCTCTCTCTCGCACACGCACACACACAATCTGCTGCTGCGGTCTCGCCGCGTCTTTCTCGCACGCACACAAACATGGCGCCATATTGTCCCCCCCCCCTCCCCACCTGTAGCTGCGCGCGGTCCCCCCTCCCCTTCGCCTGGCACTGCGAGACGACCGGCGTAGTGCGAAAGTTTGACGCGGAGCGACCACTTGGCCTGGCTAATGCCCTTCGGGGCCTCGTCCGCCCGGGCTGCCCCGGCCGCCTCGGCAGGGAACAGAGCAAAGAGAGTCGGCCTTCATCAGGGACCCGCACTCACTTTTAATCAGTCACTCAAACGCGCCTCCGTGGAGAGGGGCTGCATGGCGGCGGCGCGGCCTGGAAAAGAAGAAAGAAACTGTCATTTCGGCTGTCGGTAGAAACGGTGTGGAATGCCTAGAAATCGCGTTTCGGGCTGACTTTGGCCGTGTGAAGAGATGACGGTTTGCGAGCAGTGCTGGCGCAGTGTAAAACAGTCTCAAATGTCTGATTGTGCTTTTTGGCGAAGCAGATGTTTTTTTTTCCAGCTGACTAAGAACACTCCTCCAATACTTTCAGTGTGCATGCAGGACGTGCGGCGCCTCCCACACCGGCTGCGCCGGGCTGCGCTGACCGTGCCCCGGCAAATATTGACGTTGGAGAGACGGCGGGGCAACGCCCGCAGGACCGCAGGACTGCCAGAGCGGGGCGGGGCGAGGGGCGGGGCGAGGGGCGGGGCGAGGTGAGGCGGGGTGGGCCTCCACCCACTTGATGACATCCAGCACCGCCTTCCCGACGCACTGCCGCGCGGCACCCTTGGCCGCGCCGCTCTGCCGGTGGAGCCGTAGCCGGTGCTGGCGTGGCTGCCACGCACCCCGGGCCGTCTAAGCTTTGGGCCAAGCCGCCACTGTTAACGCCCGCGGAACGTGGGGTAGGCAGCCCGCACAGCAGGTCTGCGCAACAGGTCCACGCACTGCCTACCCGCCGGGCGCTCCGAGCTGCACGCTGCGCGCGGACGACTTAGCACTGGCTTTTCCGTCAGCGGCCCATGAGAGCGAGAGAGACAGAGCGACGATTGGCGGCGGCGAGACACAAAGCGGCGAAGCCAGCGGCCCGTTCCGCCGGTTCCGTGCCGTGTCGCGTCACTCACAAAGGGGATGCCCGCCTTGGACGCCTTGGCCGCCTCCCGCCTTGCCCACCTCCGGCGTTTGTCGCTTTCAAAAGAACACCGTTCTATTTGACTGTGCCCTTGGCCCCTGGTGTCACGCCGCGACGCCATGGCGTCGATGCTGCCCCGCCTGCCTCGCCTACCCCGCCTGCTCCGGGCGTCGACGTGCGCCATGTGTCTTAATCATGACCAATGATGCAGTCTCTGGCTGGTTGCTGCCCTGACCGGGGGAACAGAGTCGTGGCATGCGTTGGAAGAGGCAAAAAAATGCCAATACACAAAAAAACAGCAATTTTTGGACCACGATAACCTACTTTGAAACGAAAGAGTTATCTTTAATATTTCACGCGAATTAATATGCGTCGCGAAAAATGACCTTGGTCCACGTTTGGGGTGAAGATGGGAACATCGCCCATCACCTATTTCCTCCTCACTGTCGCTGTTGATAAGGATGCGAGGCTTTTACCGGGCTCGCGTGCTCGTCGCGCTGCCCGCTGACCCTCGGCAGGGTCCATGAATAATGCGGCACCGAGCTGCCATAGTGCGGCCCGATAACCTTCGACCGCGTCGCCCATGCGCCCATTCGTTTGTAGTTTCATGTGGTGACGTCACCCGCATCCCACGTCCGGGTAGTGTAGTGTCTTCGGCCCCTCTTTCCCCCGCGCCACGCCCGGTCGATGCATCTTCGGGACACGTAGGGAGCGAGAGAGATCGATCATCGTCCACGATGACGAGCGTCTCGGGCGGGAGGAGCATGGTCGGGATCATCGGTCGAGACCTCAAAATCTCAGGCCATGCGACACTCGTCGGCCGAGCGAGTGACTGTTGACTTTGTGGAGGAGACGAGCGACAGATGTGACTGGGCCAGTCGGGCCAGCTAATGCAAAAAGGGGGGGGGGGGGGGGGGGAGAGAGGGAGAAGTTGCAGCGCATGCCCAGCACGCTCAGCCTGCCACTGTTTAGACCTATCGCTCCCTCCCCTCTCCACTTGGTGGTACTCAACCAGAGCGGTGGGACGCTATGCAAGGCAGAGACAATTTCCCTCTTACACCAAAAAAAGGAGAAAGAACACGAAAGAGGGAAAAGATGAGACGGCTAAAAGGATGTCAGCAGGGGCGTTTGGAGTCCCATGAAGAGAAGAAACTGTTGTTGTGCATTGCCGTTGCCGGCCGAGGCCGCGAGGCCCAACAAAGTAAAGTAGCAAGTTGGGCGCGCGATCCAATTGGCGACAACTTCCTTTTTTGTCCCAACTCAGGGAAAGAGGCGGAGGGGTGGGGGTGGGGTGCCACGCACGCAGAGGACCGGAAAGGCTCGGACAGTTGAAGGGGAAAAAACTAGCGACCCAATGGTTGGAATCGAACCCGGGTCACGCACGCGGAACGCGCCCCGCGGATTAGAAGCAAAACACACACGGCCTCTCACTGCGGTGTTTTTGTCGCACTGCCCCAGTGGCCTGATCCGACGGTCTGTCCCCATTGCACCTCTTGGGAACGATGAGCGTTAGGGAGACAGAGGGACGGCAGACGCCGCGTCCGCCCCGCCGGGGAGCATGTCCGCCAAGGTCGCGGGGCAACGCCAGTTCACGAGGGGCCCGCGGGGAGGACAGAAAAAGGCTGCGCGCGGAGGGAATCGGGGACTCAGGGATTCAGCGCCGCAAAGTTGGCAGCGGGAACACATTGTGTCGAGAGCATGACCCCCGCGAGGGCCGAGTGGAGGGCGGTGGCGCGCTGGCGTCTCCACTAACTTGGCCGAAATCATGGACCATTTGGTGGTCGAGACCGGCAAGCGCTCGGCGGGGGGCTCCGTCCCCTTCGGCCACCAAGGTACACAACCCTGGTCTACCACTGGCATTCCGAGCGCCGTCCCCACCCCTCCCTTCGCCCGGCGGAATCTCCGATCTGCGCCGACGTGCGTGAAAGGCCCACCGCGCGCGCGACATTCTCGTCGCTTTGTGTGCTTCGCGCCTCCGTCTGCGCGCTGCGCCGCGCTGCGCTGAGGGGGCGAGACGGCCGAATGCCGCCCGGACGGCAAAACCAACAACAACGCACATTCGATAATCTTTCGATTCGGCAAACACGCTGCCAGAATGTGCCCCTCGCCGCCCCGAGACGATTCTTCCCTCCGCGAAATAGTAGCGATGGCAGAATCACGAAAATAAGGCAGGACTGCCGATGGAGGGATTCCATCTCCGCTGAAAGGGGGGAGGGGACCATACTTTTTCTTTTCATGCGCTTTTGTTTGGTTCGACGAGTGGAAATGATTCAAACACCATGGCAGAGCAGCGGCGTCGGTGCAGAGAAATGGAGGCAGAAAAGCCATTGAAAGTTTACGGATGGATGCCACCCGGCTGCACAGACCGGGCGCCGACAGACGGACTGACGGACAAATAGACGCCTCGTGGGCTAATAGTGTGTCTGTGTGTGAGGGTGTGAGTGTGTGCGCGTGTGTGTACGTGTGCACACCTACTCCACGTCAAGTTTCGGAGCCTTCCCCATCGATCGCCGCCGGGCTGGGTGAATGGATGGCAGCCATTGGCTGGCTACACCAGTGATCTGGAATCACACACCCGCTGGGCTGGCTGGGCTTGCGGTACAGCCGCATCATACAGTGCGAAGTACAGATGTGTGGGCAGGGCAACCCTACACCACCAAAACTTCGTAGTCACTTTTATGAGAAATGGAATGGAGTTCTTCACATCAAAATCAAAACTTTAAGCCGATGGCAGCGTCTTGCTGGAGTCGTCCTTGAAGCCCCGTGTCCGGGACTGCCACTCCGGTCCCGAAGGAGCTACTCACCCCATTCTGTCCGTCGACGTTGACAACTTCCACTCCACGTGCCAGCGTGCAGCTGCGTGCAGTCTGCCTCCGTAGAGAAGCGGCGAGTCGAAGCGAGTCACTTGAAGTAAAAGGCTCCGTGCGCACTCGTTTTTGTGAGTGACTGCACATTGACGGGTCAGTCGGTCAGTCCCCCTCTCCAGCGCGGCAGACGTCATCCACGCCGTTTAACACGGGCAGCTCTTTCGTGCGCATTGTCAAACCCATCAGCCATTTTACTAGGGGCAAAAAGGGGAGAGTGTGTCTGTCTGCCTGTCCGTCCGCCCTGACCCCGGTGCCCGCTGGTCACGCGCCAGGCCAGGCGACGGACCTGGGCACTAGGCGGGCAGGCGGAGCAGTATCCAGGGGCCTGATCGAACCCCGAGGGTCGATCACTCGCCATCGCAGCCACCACACCCAGGCCCAGGCGCAGGCCAATCACCCTGCAGTCTGCACTCATCAAAAGTAGCAGAAGTACTGACAACCCATTTCCATTCCGGCAGCGCTGACGACAACCCAGGGCAGCGACGACGACGTAGAGCAGTGACGACGCACTGGCGGCAGACACGTGAACGGGAGCGAAACGGAGTGAAAAGGTGGAAACAAAACGAGTGGGAGGGAAAATGTTTGCGGGACGCCGCGCCAATCCAGGCAGAACGCTGCAACAAACGAGGCGGACAAACAAAGAGGCTGCGTCGCGTAGCGTCGCGCCGTGCAAAACCAACAGGGTAATTTGGGGGATGTGTTTGGCGAAACGTCGAACAGCAAGCCGAGCAGCGGGGTAGGGTGGGGGTTGGGGGGACGATAGCCGTCGACCCCTTCCTCGCACAGACGGACAGACCAACAGACGGACGGGCTCATATTCTGTCTGTAACGAACACACCTGTCAGCCCCAAGGCACAGAGCGGAGTGAAACCACTGCAATCTACGGTACATGTTTGCTGTCAATTATTTTTAATTAGAGAATCCTACTGTGCGCATCGAGACAGTAGTCCTTGTTTGAGAGACACTGTGTTCACGTTTTTCTTGTGTTTTTTTACCGATGTTCCTGTTGTTTTTTGTCATTGCTGTTGTTGGTCTTGTTGTTGACGTGGCCGTTTAACACAAAGATGAGACGAGAGTGCTTGTGCCGACCGACGCAGTCCGATGGCGCAATGATGTGAACTCCGAAAAAGTTGTCCGCCGCGTCGTCTGCTGAGATTTCAAGGCGTTCCGAGGCGCGGGCCAGTCCAGACTGCTCGCGAGAGTTGTTTTCGTCGTTCTGTCTCCCAGATGGGGCGTGCGAGAGAGGCAGAGCGACGATTCTCGGAATCAGTCTACGGAAGCAGGCAGCGCTGCAGGCAGCCGGCCGACGACAACACAGAATTAATGAAATAATTA